TTAGCTGGCTAGTCTATACCACTTCACTTCTAGGTAGGTAAGCAAGTGGCTCAAGTGATCTGCACTTAGTCAGGAAAAGGGCATCTTCCTCTTTCTGGGCTTCGGCTGAGCCTTGGGCTTCCTTCCTTCTAGACCTTCTTCTGGGCTTACTTCATTTTGAGCCCAAAGTTCCAGTTTTAACCCAAACAGTATTAATATTGTAAGAGTTTGTAGTTAAATTGGTTAAGAATATTTTTATGTGAATTGGAGATCTCAAGTTCAAATTCTCTTTACCGTCCGATTTATGATCAGCACAAAATTCATGACATAAAAGTAATAGTACATGGCCGGAGTCCTTCACATGTTTAACAGAATGATTTAAACAAGTGATCATGTATGAAACCGGTGTAGATTTTCCTTCTAATCTGTCAACTGGCAGCATTTTTCTTTGTTTTCGAGATGTTGTTTCTTGGATCAATAAATACAATCGCATCGAATCAAGTGCTAGCTTAGAAAATAAACATGCAAACAAAAACCGTAGAATTATATATCCCTGATTAGATGCGTAATTGCTACTTCATCCACGAGATTACACGCATGCACATATTGAGACAAACAAACATCATCAACGGCAATAGTAATTCTAGCTCTTTAATTAGCGATTTAAAATTACAAAACAAGAAAATGAGGCCCTTCCTATTAGTATGTGTGCTTGGTTTGGTCCAACCTTTTTTTTTTTCTTCGTTCCCAGACAAAATTGGGCCACACAAATTATAACCAATCAATCGTGATTTCTCAATACGTGCTTTAAGATAGCTAATAATATGGAAACCCTAATGAAGACTCATTAGTAAAAGGGATATTACTGTTTCTACACTAGCAAATTTGACTAAAACCATATAAACTGTCAATTTGAATGGAAGTTCTCAAACGTAGAGCGCTAGTTCTTCTCTCCCATCAGAACAAGTTTCTTATCTAAACTTTTTGAAGAGATGAAATATAACCAAGGTATATCTTTCTGATCAGAGGTTGAACCGATCATCAAAAGAAGAATTAGGCCAGAAATTGTTGGAAATGTGCCCTAAAGCTAATCATATGATGATGCTTTACTGACATTCCATTTGTTAAACTATTATAGTTTTATATAAGGCAAAGATTATTGTTCAAAGCCGTCTCATATAAATGTTATATGCTTGAATAATAAGTCCAAAGAATATGTAATTGGAAGAATGTGATATAAAGAAGTTAGATTCATGAGATCATTCTCTTTCGTACACATATTCTAAACATTCATGATCATCGAATTGCCAATTGGGCATTGATAGTCCGTTAAGATCAGTATATGCTATGTCTTCTCTCAGAGAGAGTGACTAGCCTTGAGTCATTGGTGTGATGGACACTAAGACAAGTACGTAGGTGCTCACTAGAGAATGAGTCTATTGAACACGATCAACAAGAAGTTCTCATACTCATGACACCATATAGTTATCGTAAGCTGTTGGCTTCAGTTAATTAAAACTAGAAACTGTCATAACACCATATAGTTATAATCTAGCTACGTATTGTTTGAACTTTGAAGAAAGAAACAATAAATATATATCATGATCTAAATGTTCTCAACATAACTCCAAAGCGTTGATGTATATGTCGTTTGATATTGTACTTATCTTACAAAAGTTTGTAATTCAGTTGGTTAAGAACATTTTTACGTGAATTCGGGATCCCGAGTTGAAATTCTCTTTACCATCCAATTTGTAATCCGCACAAAATTCAATTCTTAATCACATGTTAATACGACATAAAAGTAATAGTAGTAGCTAATTAACTACATGGACGGAGTACTCCTTCACATGTTTAAGAGAATGATTTGAACAGGTGGTCTTGTATGAAACCGGTGTGGATTTTCCTTCTAATTTGTCAACTAAGCAGCATTTTTCTTTGATTTCGAGATGATGTTTCTTGGATCAATAAATATAATCGCATCGAATCAAGTGCTAGCTTAGAAAATAAACATGCAAACAAAAAGCGTATAACTATATATACATGATTAGATGAGTAATTGCTATTTCATCCACGAGATTACACTCATGCATATATACATATACATATACATATATACATATACATATACATATACATATATACTTATACATATATACTCATACATATACATACATACATACATACATATATATATATATTGAGTCAAAAAAAAAGTATCAACAGAAATAGTAATTCTAGCTCTTTAATTAGTGATTTAAATTACCAAACAAGACAATGAGATTTCTTTTAGCATGTGTGTTTGGTCCCACTTTTTTGTAGAGCCTATCCACTAGCTTATCTCCAACTTGTTAGCAGATATTTTTTAGTGTGCCGGAAGTATGTCCTGGTGTATCAAGTGTTATAATACAAGTGATTAGATATTTGAGGAAAAAAATTTCAACCGCTTATATTACATACTGAGCGTACAAAACTGTGTTTCCAACATATCAAAAAATCTCTCACTTGTTAGGATAGGTAAGCCACAAATTTTGTTCGTGCTCCGGAAAAAGTTGGACCACACAAATTATAACCAATAAATCGTGACTTCAGGCCGTGATTTCTCAAGTTATAACATGTTTCCATGGGAAGAAAAGATTAAGTAAAGGAGTAATAGCCAAATAAATATCATGCTTTAATTAATACTCATGAGTTCAATTTTGTTTGTTGAGATTGGTTTTTGCTTGTTATTAACCAACTTTTTGTAAAAGTACTTCATTAGCTTGATGTGCATTGTTGGTTTCGGTTCAGGGCAGTTTAAGCTTTTAGAGGCTAGTGTTTGTCTAATATGGTATTAAAACTCTGGTTCTAGGAGGTTATGGTCAGTTTGAAGCCTCTAAAACCCTATCCCCACATATTTTCAGTTATTTTTGCTAGGCCGCCTTGTTTTTGTTTGTTTTCACGTTTAAGAAATAGATGTATGGGACATAGGATGTTAGCATGCATTGTAGGACACTTGAGTTTTCTGGGGCTTAGGTTTTGTATAACATTTTCCTTCCAACAATTGAAAAACGTCTCAAGTTTGAATCTTTGTTCAGAGCGTTGTTCCCCTACGATCCCTTGGAGGGAGCAGATCAAAGTAGATGCTAGGTCAAGATGTTTCCCAAAACGGCTCCCCATCGATAAATGAACTTCAATCGCAGTATCTAAATTTCAACCACGCACCTATGTCCCAATTAGTGTAGTAGTTCGTAAGTTCTCTCCATACTTGTTTGTTTTCTTTCTTTGCTTAGTTTCAATCTATTCCCCCCTCTTTCATGGCAAGGTGCCCAGCTGCCTACCAATATCGCAAAAAATTCCCAACCATGAATGGGGTTTTACCCATCTAGAACTGAGCAAGGTATGGTGAGTAACAAAATGAGAGATTACTGATTGAATGATAGCTTGATTGTTTACATACGTTGAGAAAGATGCTTTTTCTTAAGATGATGCTAGAGATATCATCTACTTAAACCATATTTTGTAAACCATATGTTGTGGTGGGTGATGATTTGATTCCTTCTTCGTATCATTACAAAAAGAATATAACCATGAACCGACACATTATATGGTTTACCCCAAATGGTCTAAAACATGATTTTTCTAGCATTTTTTTTCTTGTATTAATAACGAAGTCATAATGCTACATGTTTCATAATATAAACTCGTCATGAACAATTATAACTTATAAGTTGTAATGTTAAATTTTATGATCAATACTATTATGGTTTTATTTGAAAGAGCCTTCCATGTCTAACATAAGTTATAAACTTTTTGTCCTTGGTTGACGCAAAATGTTTGGATCAGCGAGGTGTGTATAGAATGGACGTAAGAAAGCAACTCTAATAAATGTGACATTACTCTTCTAGATAAAATCAGTTAAACCAGTCAACAAAACCTGCCAGCATCCCGGAGGAAAACGCAGAAATGTCAGCCATTTGTTCACACTGCGTTTTCTCAAACGGCCTCCTCCGTGGCCACACTTGCCCTCCCACTATTTGTTGCACGCCTTGCCCCTTGCCTTACCCTTGTTCCCGTAACATAAGTAGTACATTTCTTGAACCTAGTGATTTACAACCATCTTCAGTGAAGACTTTTTATATATCTACGTGTTATTATATAAGTGTGATTTTTTTTATATTATTATTTTTTTAACACAAAAATCTCACTACTCGTATAAAAACACATAATGCACTATTCTGTATTCGAACCAAGGTATAAAATATCGATGATATCGGAAATATCGGGATATTATCGATATCGATAAAAATTGAATAAAAACCACGGAAATTGTAAGAAAAACTTGAAAATTTTTATTGAAACTTTGCATGATGTTTATTTAGTCAATTATCTATTAGTTTATCACAAAAAATTAGAAGGAAATGCATTGCATGATAGATATAACTGATTTAAGTTGATTATATAGCGAGCTGGCAAACATTATAAGTGTAGAAAATATGTAGTAATTAATGAAATAAGTTTAAACACACCATAATCATTTATATATAATGAATTAGTACAATATTTTACACTTTATACATTGCATGGTAAGATACATAAGTGACTTAGCAAGGTCTAAAATATCGATGATATCGGAAATATCAGTAGTCCAAAAACACGAAAATTTCAATAGAAATATCGGAATATTATGAATATTTTAGACTATGATTCAACCACATAAAATCTCTTCCTCGCGTGATCAACTTTAACGGCACACTGTTTACTGGCGGTTCTTAACTTACCAGGACGAAAAGCTTAACGGTCCAATTTTTTGAAATTACGAAAACAGCCCTACAATTCCTCCACTCCGTCATCAATGCACAACTGAACAAACACACACGACGTTGGGTAAAAACAGCCGGAAATAACGCCTTAACCGTTGGTGGGGCCCAGATTTCAGTGGCTTTTGGCGTAAATACAACGACAGCACATGGGGCAGATGGTCATAGTGAAATAATTGAAGCTTCTTCTCTGTGGCAGCTTTGCAGCTTGTGCTATATATCCTACCCATACAATACAGCACCTATACCAAAGCATAACACAACTACATAACTGTCGGCAAAGCTTTGTGCTCACTTTTTAGCCAAACCAGTGCTCAGAACTGTTGCCGCCACCGCCGCCACTCAACACCCCACTTAATTAAGCAGCCTAGCTCACAATGCAGCTCCTCCACCGCGGCTTCGGCATTGTTTTGGTGCTGAATTCGTTGCTTCTGCTTGTGTCTTGTCAAGTTCAGCAACCCGGGGCCAACACCCGCTGGCTCCCAGCCACCGCCACCTGGTACGGCAGCCCCGAAGGCGACGGCAGCGACGGTAAGCCCCCACCCTCAAACCCAATTTGGCTTTAGCTTACAATGCCGCAAGTATAGACTGTCTATAATATAATTTGTACCTACAGTTTCTACAGATTTTGTACATCTCAAATGTATTATATACTTTTTCGCAAATTTAGATTTAGTCAAGTTAATTATCATATCATTTTAAAATAAATAATAAAAATATTGTATTTCACATTAACGAGAAAACAATGATACGATTTATAGTTTGTTAAGATTATGTTACAGATATTCTTAATTATCCATGAATTAATTATGTCGGCATGTGCGTAATTTTTGGTAGGTGGAGCATGTGGTTACGGGTCAATGGTGGACGTGAAGCCGTACAGGGCGAGGGTTGGGGCGGTGAGCCCAGTGCTGTTCAAGAGTGGCGAGGGGTGCGGGGCGTGTTACAAAGTCAAGTGTCTCGACCAGAGCATCTGTTCAAGACGAGCCGTCACGATAATCGTGACGGACGAGTGCCCTGGTGGTTACTGCTCGAATGGGCGCACCCACTTCGACCTCAGTGGCGCCGCCTTTGGACGCATGGCTGTCGCCGGTGAAGGCGGTCTGCTCAGGAACCGAGGCGAGCTCTCTGTCCTTTACCGACGGTACGTTCTCATATGTCATGTTTACTGTGTGTTAGCTTGTTTGCTTTAACGGTCCTCTTTTGTCCCTTCCAATATTTTTTTGGAACCTTTTGTTTATTCGCTGGTTAATTACTAATTTTGTTTATTTCCGTTTTGTTTTATTTTCTTTGATTTAGAAAACAGGCTAAATGAGTTAATTTTTGAAACATTCTTTTCACTTTTTAATTAACTACTAAATCTGTTTTTTCAGTTATTTGCCGAACAACAGTTGTGATTTTTTGGGAAACAATGGTCTTTAACCAACTACCTAATGTCGTTTTCATTCTTTTCTTCCTCGGGGTTTTTCTCATATAGCTTTTTCTCGAGTGAAGTTTTAATACCATCACTTCTTTGTCTGTATATTATACGCTAATATGCTTTGATGATTGTTTAATGAAGAAAGCTTTTACCCTAAGAAAAACTCAACCCAAACAGTTACACACCACTCAGTTATTTTTACCCCTTCGTATTTTTTTCTTTTGAATTCATATACTTGACGAATTGAAATAATAATAATGTATTTTATTTATTTTAACTTCAGGACACCATGTAAATATCCTGGGAAGCAAATAGCCTTCCATGTAAATGAAGGTTCAACAAATTACTGGCTATCACTTCTGGTAGAGTTTGAGGATGGAGATGGAGACGTCGGATCGATGCATATAAGACCAGTACGTTCTCCTTCTCTTTTTTTTTTTTCTTTTACAATGCTGCATGCCTCTTGCAACTTTAGTTACTTTACATTAACATTTACATTTGCTAACAAGATACTTAAAAAAATGCCAAATCAACAAAAGTAAAGATAGTTTTTCTTGAAATATAAGAAAGTACTCGTGTAATTCCACGTTTTCACATAAAAAGCACTGTAAACGTGCCCAAAAGGGTGTACGAAAGAAACAAAAGAAAAATACTCATACATATAGTTAACATTTTAGTCATTAGGAGAATGACTTATATGATACAACAATATTACGATAATAAAAGTGTGTATTTGTCATGTAAGTTACTCTCCTAAACTCGATTACACAAAGCCTATCTCGTAGCTCAACCCGGACCAATTTTACGAAGCAATACTTTAGTGTTAACTAAGTGATTAGAGAATTTTAAAGTTCACTAATTTTATCTTTAAAATTTTATTTATATTTTTGTGTTGGTGGGATGGTGCAGGCAAGTTCCAGTGAGTGGATCGCGATGAGTCACGTATGGGGAGCTAATTGGTGCATAAATGGGGGTCCTCTAAATGGACCATTCTCAGTGAAGATTACAACTCTCTCAACAGCAAAAACTCTCTCTGCCAGAGACGTCATTCCCAGTAATTGGTCTCCAAAAGCCACTTACACTTCTCGCCTAAATTTCCGCTTCTAGCGAGCTTATTTGACAAACAAGTCAAGATATATATAATATCAGCACGTTTTTACAAAGCACTTTTTTAACTAAGCATTTATAGGCCAGAAAAAAGGTCTTGCCCACATGACCCAAAAGTAGCCGTTGTCGCGGTGGTCTTTTTCTTTTTTTTTCTTTTAAAGAAAAATGGCCGTTGGATTGCACTAGTTAATTACAATGGCATCCAAATGCTCTTTCTTTATTTTCTTTTGAGATATTGTTTTTCCTATTTTGCTGCTGTTCCAACTGGTTTTGTTTGTAGATGTGCACTAAGATATGTAGCCAGCCCTCTCCAAAAGGAGAGAGAGCGTGTGTTCTTGCTTTGTTAATGCTATATGTAAGGTTCTGTGACCCAATGTGTTTTTAATGAATTTGGACAATTTGATTGCACTATAATTTCGCTTACAATTGGAGATCTCTGAGCATATAGGACCTCAAGGGCCAGAGGTCTGCTGTCTTCAAATTAGTGTCTTCGTCATGTCTCATTTCTAACTTTGTGACTCATGTGAGTGATATGCACAACAAAATTGATGTTACGGACAATCATTCATGCAAATTTAGTTGCAACAAAGATTAATAGACACTCACATGCGCGATTGTTAGCTTAATAATCGAAACATAGATGTCAAAACCCGTAACTGCATTGCATATAATGCAGGAGGAAAAGAGAGATGTGGATCACATGAAATGCATATATGGTCACCCACATTCAATGTGTTTCAATTTTCAACTTTGAAACCTTTCACAACTCACAAGGCCTGTAATTTTTGTGGTGCAGAACAATAAAATTGTGAGTGACGAAAAGGATCAAGGGATTCAAAGTGTTGTGGTCACCACCACACGTGGGACGGGGTCCCTTTGTAAAATGGTGCTGGTTCATTGATTGGCACATGACTTTCTCTCGTCACATGTGAAGTTCTGCTTGCTACGTCCTTGATCCCCCAATATACCGGAATCTCTTTAACAGCCAAACTCTTTTCTTTTTTTTTGGGGGGGGGGGGGTGTTCCGTAATCTTAAACCATGAAAAATCTCAAAATCAGAGTAAGCAAAAACGAAAGAATTATAAAGTTGTGGACATTATTTTTATCAACAAGAAAATAAATAAAGATTGTTGGGACATCTACAAATTGAGGGTTACATCTTGCAACAAAAAATAAACCTAAAAACTAATATTTTCCAATAGTCAACATAATTCTAAAAGGTACTAGTTGGACGGCAAGCAGTGGCTTAGAGCTTAGGGGTCTAGGAGGGGCCTTGGCGGTTCTTTTAATTTTGATTAAATTTATTATTAAATTAATGTCTACTTATACTTAAGAAAAATAATAATTGTATTGTGATACATAAATTGCAAAACAAAGTGACATATAGATTATAAGGAAAACTAATGAAAAAGGCTTGAAAACTTTGAGTTTTAATGATAAGGACAAAATAAAGGATAAAGTGAATAGTACTAGGATTGACTTTTTAGTGTAAAAATGTTGTTTTTCGTTAAAGTGAACAGTACCGGGTGCTTTTCGTTAAAGTTCGATTATAAGGTATTAGAACATATTGAAAACATAGGGAACAACATATAATGAGTGTTCATCCAAGTATTCAATAAGTATCTTACAATTTATTCAAAAAATAAAATGTAAAATGAAAGTTATCTATTTTCTGTCCAAGTGAGAGTGCGTAGGAGGGTTTAGGTGGGCCAGGCGGGTGTCTAGGCAAGTCTAGGTTGCCTTTCTTAATTTTCAAATTTCTAAAGATTAATCAGGGTAGTAGTCAGCCTATTGGTGTCTAGGTGGTGCTAGGCTGGAATTTTTAGAACAGTGATCGTCACTCAACGTCCAATCTTAATTCAGTGGTGAGGAAAAAAGTATAAGAACAAAAGTTAAAATAACCACTGTGGATGTAAATTTTGTACATGGCTAAATTGACAAAATCAAACTTGAAAAACAACAAACACCGTTAGGTTAATTGACAAACATCTAAGAAAAATGGTAAGTGGTGACGTCCATTTTTCCTATTTGACTTGGCTATTTATAGACCTAAATCATAGTAGGTAGCCAGGAAGGGAGGTTGCAGGCCATACTAGGCAAACCTTAACATTATGTTAGTAATGGAGCAGACTAATCTCCACAATCATTCCAGCTAGTAGTTCTGAAGGTCCTTGTTAGTAAAAGTATAGGCACGCCATACACCAAAGAGGAAACTCCTAAGAGCCAGCTTCCCGTCACCATTGAGAGAGTATGGCTCGGTGGCAGGAAATATCATGGGCTTGAAGCATCTTTGACACGTTGATGGCCGAAAAGCCTAATACTCACAGGGCAGGCAAGTGCCACAGTCCCTCATGGAAGGCAGACATAAGCCACATTCCTTAGAGTTGTTTTTCTGCTCATAACGTCAAAGGTAAAACTGTCATAGCAAGTATATAGTTACATATCCTCCCATTAAATGTGATTAATTTATGTCTTCATAAGAGCACTTCTACCCTTAAAAAGTCTCCTAGGCAATAAGCAATTTAATCCTCCTAAGTGAATAGTTACTGCCCCTAGTGAACAGTAACTGCCCAAGAGCATCTCCACCCCCTAAAATAAATGTCCGGACAATTGATAATTAAAAATTAATAAAAATAATAATATTTTATTGTTAATTTTATTTTCTATGTTCTCTTTCTTCTTTTTTCTTTCTTATTGCTTCTTCTTCGTTCTACCTGTAAAACTCTCCCCAGATTCTCAACTCCTCTCGATCCCTCCAAAGAGCAGTCCTCTGATCCCTTTTTTCTTCTTTGTTCCTGGAATTTCCTCGATTTGCCACTCGAAGGCTGGAGATGTGGATGTTCGATTCTCGACAGTGACGATGATGGTTCAACGGCGAAGGCTCGACGTCTTCCTTCTCGAAGGTTGGGTTCGCCAAACCTTTTCCAAGTTTCCTCATGGTCGTCGCAGGGGGGAGAAATTTGTCGGAAGAGGGTAGACAGAGGAAATTAAACGGAATTAAAAATTATTGCTAATGTCAACCTAGCCTCACATGAGCTGGGTAATTGGACTGTCTCCTAGGGGATTCCACATGGGGTGGAGTTGCTCTAACCATTTACTGATGGATTAACATCAAACAGTGGGTGATCATAATTTTCTTGGACTATGGAGTTTAGGGTACCATTTGGTACGTGGGATGGGACATAACATAGTGGAACGGGACGCACTCGTCCCATGTTTGGTGCACCAATTTGCTTGGGACGTGTTGTCATGTGGAATAGATGTTAGTCAATTTTTCGTGCCACTCTCTCCCCTGGAACGACTTGTTCTAGCCCATGAAAAGCAAAATTATAAATTTTTGGACAAAAATACCCCTCATTTTTCATTAATTTCACTTCAAAAATTAAACAAAATTAATAAAAATTTCAGAGATCTCTCTATTTCTACACAATTAGCATAAAATATTCATTAAAAATCAAAATTTATCTCAACAGATCAACTCAAAAACTGAGTTCTCTTATTTTTCCGGGAAATCAAGCTTATTTGATCGCACTTCAAATTTTTCGGGAAACTGAGTGACAAAAACCCAACAAAAAGTATTTTTCTTTGTGTTTGATTTCTATATTCAAAGAAGAAAAACAACAAAACGAAGAAAACCCAAATCGGATAAAGGGTTCCTGAGAAAGCAAGAAGAACAAAAGGGTACCGAGAAAAGCGAGTGAAAGGACATGGCTGATTATTCAAAACCTATTTCATCCATCCTCATCAAATCTTTCCCACAAGATAACCTTCAAATATTCATTCAAATTAGGATTAATAACCTAAATTAATTGATTAATTTTCTAATTAATTTCCTAATTGACTATTGTTGATGCACAAAATCAGTGAGGACTTTGGTACAACAGAAAGTGTTAAGTTTGTGACCTTCGCTAGATTGCTCCGGTCACTAGTGTGGATAAGTATGTAAATGGATAGAGACAGGGAAGCAAACACAAGATGTACGTGGTTCACTCATATTGGCTACGTCCACGGAGTAGAGGAGTTCTCATTAATTGTGAAGGGTTTACACAAGTACATAAGTTCAAGCTCTCATTTAGTGAGTACTAGTGAATGATTTAGTACAAATGGAATTAGGGATTATTGTGGGAGAATGATCTCCTTTTATAGAAGAGAGTTTCTAGCTTTGTTCTAGCCTTGACACGTGTCATGTTGTGATTGGCCTCTGATGTTGACACGTGTCGCTTTGTGATTGGCCTCTTGGTGTTGACATGTGTCGCATTGTGATTGACGGTATAACGTTGACCGGTGCTCAATAGTTTCGGGATTGGTCAAGTATGGTACAAACAGTGCTCCCCTAAGTTCTCGAGTGAGAGAAGCTCCTCGGTTGGGGACTTGCAAGATCCAAGCCGCTGAGTAATCACGAAACTTCTAAGTACCGAAGTGTGGTATCATTTTCACTTGCCTTATTTGTCACATAGGTAGATGTGGTATCTTCTCTTGAAGTAATTTTCCTCCATCCAGGGGTGGTATCTGTAACTGATAGAGATGCACAAGGTAATGTATCAATTTCACTTGAAGCTTACTTGTAGTTTCGGACTTGGTCAAACGCGATACAAACCCTATAATATGAGTCCTCCAAGTCTCTGAGCGAGGAGATATGCCGAAAGAGGTGACAGACAAGGTAAGCAATCAGAGTTCTAAGCAACCAGTCTCAGATTAGAAGTTTGATTTCGAGTTCCGGCTAATTGTTCTCATTCTCCCTATCTTGTAGGCAGCAAAAAGGATAAAGAGAAGAAAAATGAGAAGAGATGATATGAGATACTTTTACTTTTGAAGAAGTAACTTTCCATAGGCTTATTCTTGAACTAGGCTGGAGGGTTTTCTAGTTTCATCCAGAGTATAAGGCAGACACAAGAATTTGAGGGTCAAAACAAGTCCATCAAATTAAGAGTTCGTTCGACCTTGAAGATATGGGATACTTTTGCTGTTGACAAAGTAGTGGATGTGGTATGGCGATGCTTTGCTCTTTGGCGATGTTGCTAGCAAAAGGTTGTTGAAGTATCTTGAGCTCTTCGGATAGGGCAACGATGCCAAGCTTGGATTTGACTTAGACTCATTCGTCTAGATTATGCGGTTCTGCAGGGAGGGCGTCGTGCAATAGTGATCTGTTCTAGCTCATCGTTGAACCTTCTGCTTCAATCTTTTGCATCGTAGAAGTGGTGCGCAACCTTTGCATTTGAATGGTCATTTAGAGCACTACTTCTCAGCGACTCATCCATGCTTGGCAGCTTAATTGTAAAGAGCCAATATCGTATCAACTATTCTGAAGTATGCCAAAATGATTCGTGAGCTTGACAACAGTTAATGATGAGTACCCGAGAGCAATGTTAGGTGAGCAACCAAGCAAAGGTTCCGGGCAATCAGTTCCAGAT